TACTCTACATTCAAGCTGACAGATGCATGGTGTTATATTTGTATACTTTTATAAATATATGGAGATATAGATATGTATGTTATTGCTGTGTGCTGTCAAGTCTGAACCAACTCATGGCTGACCCTTCAGTGGGTTTTCAGAGGCTGTAGATTGCCCAAGAAGAGATTATTATTCTTTTTCCTGTGGAGCAGCTGGTGGATTTGAATCAACTGTTTGTAAAAATAGAAGGACAATGAAAGGTAAGAACTTCAAGAAGGTGGATTGACATAATGACCACAATAGTGGGCTTAAGCATAGCAAAGCTTGTGAAAATGGCCCAGTAAACACATTGTACCATTCTGTATATAAGGTTGTAATGAGTTGGAGCCAACTTAAGAGAGACAGAGAAAGATAGAGGGTGAGAGAGAAAGAGAAAGACGAGATACTTGGGTTACGTTATTGGCCAATTCATTCATGCACAGCCACCCTATTTGTCAGTAGAGGCTTGTGTATTGTTACAATTCTGAGGCTTTGCTGGGGCTTCCATATTAAGACAAACTAGGAAGAAAGGCTTGGTAATCTATTTCCAAAAATTATCCAGTTCTGGGCAACAACATACTTGATAAGGAATAATCTTTAAAATTTATAGACAACATCTCAACAACAAAAATAAAAGCAACTCAATAAATAGGGAGAGGACATGAACAGACAGAGGCACTTCCCCAAAGAAGGCATTTATTTAGTTAGCCAATGGACACATGAAGAAATGCTTATTATCATGAACCATTACCTAAGCCCACTGCCATCAAGTCAATTTCAACTCAGAGTGACCCTGTGGGCAGAGTGCCATCAAGTCAGAACTGACTCGTAGATGACCTTCTAGCAGGTTTTCAGAGACAGTAAATCACATAAGAGGAGAGTGCTAAAAAAAAAAAAAAGAGGAGACTGCTCATTCTTTTCTGGCCAAATAGCTGGTGGGTTTGGACTACGTGTGTTTAAGATTCAGCATAGCTTCTTACCTCTAGGCAACTAGAGCTCCCCAAGGGCAGAGTTGAATTCCCTTATAGGCTTTCTGAGGCTGTAAATCTTTATGGAAGGAGACTGCCTCATTTTTCTTCTACACAGTACAGCTGTTAGGTTTTAACCATACATTTTGTTGTTATGTGCTGTAGAGTTGTCTGTGACTCATAGTGACCCTGAACAATAGCTCTAAACTCTGCTCTATCCTGTGCCAATTTTATTGTTTCTGATACACCTATCTCCATTACCCTAGTCACTGAATCAATCCATCTCATTGAGCGTCTTCCTCTCTTGCACTGTCCCTCCATCCTCTTAAGTATGATGTTAGCAATCCACTATTTTAAACACTACACCACCAGAGAGCTCTGGTAGGAAATGACACTGCCAACGCAAAGGTATGTGGTTCAAATCCATCAACTGATCTGTGAGAGGAAGATGGGCAGTCTCCTTCCTTGTGACTTACTGTCTCTGAAAATCTGCTGGAGGGTAAGGTATGTGTCAGTTCTGGCTTGATGGTGCACACCACCATCATTTCTCTGCCCCCCACCCCCTGAGCTTCTTATAGTTAGTCCTTCATGGTGTTATGTACTATCAAATCATAATTGACTTATAGCTGACTCTCCAGTGGATTTTTAGAAGCAATAAACTTCATAGGAGGTGATGGTCCATTATTCTTCTACAAAACAACTAGTGGATTAATGTATATCAGAACAACAATGTGGTGTTATCTCAGATCTGCTTTTCCTCAGTGCTTACAAACTTTTAGTTTTAAGTTTGATAAAGATTAAAATCTTTTGTGTATTTTCTCAACACACATAACAGTTTTGGAAGTTTGTGTACATGCCTACACTAGGTAGGTAAGTTGTATTTTTAAAAAATGATCTTCATAAAAGATCTTCTCAAAGAGCTTTGACAAATAGTTGGCAGCAGAAAGTGTTCTCTTATGTTTATAAGGTTTCAACCCTGCCTTAATAGCAAAGTTAGGCAAAAAACCAAATACCCAACAAATGCTAACAGGAGTATGGAAACATTGGAACTCTCTTGAACCGTCTAGTGGGATGGTAAAATAATACAACTGTGAGAAATGATACACAGTAGTTTCATTAAAAAGTTGGAAACGGAAATAACATGATTCAGCAATCTCAATACTAGATATATATATCCTAGAGAAATAAGAACTGGAACATGGGTAGACATATGCAGATTCATGTTCACTGCAACACTATTCACAATAGCAAAAAAAAAAAAATCTAACTATTCATCATAGGAAAAATGGTTAAAGTATGGTGAATACACGCAATGGAATACTTGCAACATTAAAGAATAATGAAGCATCTGTGAAACACCATATAATATAGATGAACTTGGAGGAAATTATGTTGAGTGAAATAAGTCAATTGCAAAGGATCAAAATTATATGAGATCATTATTATAAAAGTCAAGAAAAAGATGATACACAGAAGGGAACATTCTTTGATGGTTACTAGGAATGGGGGAAATAATTCACTAGAAAGTAGATACATAGTAAACTTTGGTGATAGAAAGGCAATACATAACAAGAGAGAACAGCACAGCCAATGGCATGGCCAATGGTAAAGGAAATTACTAGGAGGTCACAAGCATAAAAGACAACAAAGGCTCTGTAGATGTTCATTGAAATGAAAAATAAATTAATTAATTAAAAAAAGACAACAAAGGAAAATACTGTTCTAGACATAATCTCGCAATAATAGTAATAAAAAAGATCTACGAGTAGCTAAACAGACATGTAAGCTGAAATAGATAAAGGAAGATAAATGGGAGCAACTAGAGACTTTTATAGTCCCTTATATTGGATTGGTAGAAGGTATTTCTTCATATGTATTTGTGTGTATCTAAATACATTCAAAGACATTATAGAACAGACAATAAGCAGAGTTCAGAAAAGTTCTTCGTCACAATCAAACTCCTTGAGAGAATAAGTCAGTCGTCTTGAGGATTTAAGATTATAGTCAAGATATAAATACTTAAAAAAAAGTGAATTCTATAAAACAAACAAAAAAAATCAGTCAGTGAGAACCCTTTGTATCACAATGATCTGATTTGCTCTGATTATGGGGATGGAGTTGGTTTGGGCAGTATTTTGTTCTATTGTTCATAATGTTGTTGTAAATTAGTAAGGTGGTAGGGGTGGGTGGGCGATGATAGTGGTGACTCATGGTACCTCACAATGTAGATGTGGAGTCAGTGTGCCAAATGGTTAACTGAAAAGTTGGTGGCTCAAAGTCACCGTATATCTCCAAGGAGATAAAGACCTGGGGATATGTTTCTACACAGACTACCTCCTAGAGAACCCTACAGGGCAGTTTTACTGTGCCACATGGTCATGTTGTTGTTAAGTACCATCGATTTGGAACTGACCCATAGGTGATCTTCTAGTGAATTTTTCAGAAGTTGTAAATTGCACAGGAGGAGATTGCTCATCTTTCTTTTGCGGAGCAGCTGGTGGATTTGAACTGTGAGCCTTTGAGTTGACAGCACAGCTCCTTACCACTAGGCTGCTGAAGTTCCTTACAAGGTCAGAGGACCTGATAACAATCACAGCAACAACGTAAGATACAATCTATGCAAATAAACAGTACTGACATATTTTTTTTCTGTAAAGAGTCAGATACGTAATTTCAATTTAATGAATGAAAAGTAACTAAAAGCAAAATAACAGAAAACAACTAAACAGACAATTCTGTCTCAATTATTCAACTGTGATACTGTAATTAAAGTTGTCAAAGAGAACAGGTTAATAAGAAAGTGTGACTTAAAAAGAAATTAAAAAGCACAGGCACGTACACACATTCACATGTGAGAATATGACTGTATTTCAATAAAATTTCACTTCTGAAGATAAGAAGTTCACCCCAACAAGATAAAGTTAAACAACCCGATTGCAAAATG